ATGCTTAACTGACTGAGCCACACAGCACCCCTATTTTTATTTTTTAACACAGAGGCTAGAGTAAATTAGTCATAGCTGAATATCAAAACGAATGTTTCTCACATTAAATGCTATTAACAGGAGGCTACAAAGAAGAGATAAACCACACATTAAAAAAGAGAAACTTGGGGCACCTGGGTGGCTCAGTCAGTTAAACATCCGATTGATTTCGGCCCAGGTCATAATCTCACAGTTTGTGAATTCGAGCCCCACATTGTGCTCCATGCTGACAGTGCAGAGCCTGCTTGGGATTCTCTTACTCCCTTTCTCTCTGCCCCACCCCTGTTCACATGCACGCTCTCTCTCTCTTTCTCTCTCTCAAAAATAAATAATTAAACTTAAAAAAGAGAGAAAACTTAGCTTGCAAAAGACACGGTTCAAAGCAGAGATATCAGAGGACATAAAAGTAAGATGGCCAAGGGTTAGCCAGATTAGAGAAAATGAACAGATAAAGCTATCATTATGGAGTCAGGTAGGTGGGCATCAAATTCAAGTGAGGAAAACAGATCAAGAAGCTTGAAAAAATGTGGCAAGTCCGGAGCTAAGACCGAGTGCCAGATTCAAGTAAAAATCGACAGTTGCTTTTATCTTCTTTCTAAGGTAATGAGAAATCATCTTTGTTTTATTTTGTTTTGTTTTTGTAAAGACAGGCAGAAAACATGGAGGTAAAAACAACCAAAAAGATCTGGTATAGGTGGAGACAGAAGCAGTGTTCTTCCTTATTTTAAAGGCAGCTCCTAAAACCAACCTTTTTCCTTGAAAAGGAGTGTTTGAATTTCACAGAGTGATATGGTCAGTTTGGGGGAATTATCAAATCTTGTATCTTCCAACCAAAAGAGATACCTTCTTGGTGAGGTTCTACTTCCTTCCATGGCACATAAATAGAGCAAGCATATATTATGATGACATCCCGTGTCAATCATGGCGACAACAATGACCTCATTTTCCCTCAGGAACTAGTAGATAAGATGGGAACTCCTCCCACTGGCCTGGAAGAAGTTCTGCCTAATGCAGATACTGGAAGATTAGCATCTTCGTATTAGTGGAAGGTTTTGCTAGATTTTGATTAGGCACTGGGCCTAACTAATGGATATACCTATACCAAGAACCTAACATGGCACTGTCTAAATCCTAAAAGTTGGGGCGCCTGGGTGGCTCAGTCGGTTAAGCGGCCGACTTCGGCTCAGGTCATGATCTCGCGGTTCGTGAGTTCGAGCCCCGCGTCGGGCTCTGTGTTGACAGCTCAGAGCCTGGAGCCTGTTTCAGATTCTGTGTCTCCCTCTCTCTGACCCGCCCCCATTTGTGCTCTGTCTCTCTCTGTCTCAAAAATAAATAAACGTTAAAAAAAAAAAATTAAATCCTAAAAGTTGGCTAAAGGGCTCTTTTGTATGTGTGAGTACAGATGTCTAAGACAGAGGTGATCTAACTCTAATAAAGGTCTAGGGTAATGAGTAGAAAACAGGGCCCCTACCTTAAAAGAATCATTCTGTCTGCAAAGGAGATGAAATCCTCAAATCTAGTGATCAAGTGGATCTAAGTAAGCTAATCTTTGACATGTGGGTTAAGCTTTTTGCTGAAACTGTTGAACTGCAGTTTATATCTGCAGTGAGGTGGAGGAACAGAATCACACCATATTTTTCTTGGCATACAAAGCACCACTTTTATAGTTTTAGGGTTGTGTGGACCTGACTGACACTATCCAGGACAAGCTTTCCCCACACTCCACCCACCCAAGCAGGCAAATACAAACTTAGAATAGAACAGAAAGAAGAAAACAACCTAGCTGTCTCGTAAGGGGCAGGTGTGCCACAACAGGCAGCAATGATCTACAACCCCCTGCAACGTCTGTAAAACGCAATCATGTTACTTTAAAGGGGATAATGTGGTGTAATGGGGATAAAGTGAGGCCTACCGGGAGCCATTTTTCTTTTTCAAGACTGCAAGTTGGGGGCAGCAGGACACAAAAGAAAAGTGCTATGGATTCATATCAACTTCTAGTCAGGCACTAAGACAAAGCTTCCGTCACACTATTGTTGCCAGGCCACGGGTGGCAAGCAAATCATGCATGGCAGGTGTGCAGAAGCCAAGAACGCCGGTGTGAAGTCAAGAGTGAAAAAAAAGCGACCGAGGGTCAGAGGCACATATTGGGGTGGGTTCAGAGTCTGTCAAGGCAAGCCAGCAGAAACAAAGAACACAGTCTTAAAACCCAGGCAGCAGAAACAGAAGTGAGTTGGCAAGTGTAACGGGGCCCCGGTGCGCTGGCTGAAGAGGCAGCCCCGCCTCACCTTCCCATCCTGAGGAAGCCCACCTTCTAGCAGCACGAGCTTCATTTCCCCATGAAGGCATCTACAAATGGGCCAAACAGGCTGTAGGGAAGAAGGCCTAGGATTACGTGATCATCTCCTACGTCACTCCATTTAATCATACAAAACCCAGGTTCCATCACTACACTACAGTTCTGTTCTGCTGCTTCTGATGTCCCATAAAGTTCATTTAAAGAGGACCAGACCCAGCAACGAAATTATCACGTCTCTGCGGATTCTGCTTATTACATGGTGCTACTAGCATACAGTGACTACAAACATATGAATCCCATGAATACATTTCCAAAGTTGTGCTAAAAAAAAATCTATTAAATATATTTTTTAAATTTTTTTAATGTTTATTTGAGAGAGAGCGAGCGAGCAAGAGCCAGCGAGCAAGCACAAGTGGGGTAGGGACAGACAGAAAGGGAGACACAGAAGGTGAAGCAGGCTCCGGGTTCTAAGCTCTCAGCACAGGGCCCAATGAGGGGTTCAAGCCCACGGACCGAAAGCCCATGACCAGATGCTTAACTGACTCAGCCACCCAGGCACCTCTATATTTCTTAAAAAGTCAGATCCATAGACAAGACTTGATTCTAAAACAACAAAATCAACACAGACATGAAATTGTTAGAATATAAGAGTAAACTCTTCTTAAATGATACAGGACTAAGGGGAAGCTTTAGTTCAAGTGTTGGCTTATTAACAAGCTGTAAAGTTCTAGGTAAAACACTGTTAAAAGCTCCCTAGGGGCACATGGATGGCTCAGTCGGTTAAGCGTCCAACTTTGGCTCAGGTCATGATCTCATGGTTCGTGGGTTCGAGCCCCGCGTCGGACACTGTGCTGACAGCTCACAGCCTACAGCCTCTTTAAAGTGTCTCCCTTTCTATCTGCCCCTCCCCCACTCGTTCTCTCTTTCTCTCTCTCTCTCAAAAATAAACAAACATTTAAAAAAATTCCCCAGAATGTAATTTTATTTTTGGTAAAACGAGGAGGTTGAATTTTATGGTCTCTAAGCAAAAACTCAGCTCTAAAAACGTTATGCATTAGATTTCTAGTTTAATTTCAATGGACTTTTGATAATCTAAGTATTAATACATGTTATCTGCTATAATTAAAGATATAATTTTTTATATCTGAAGAAAATCTAACACTGCTTAGAGAAAATACAAGGTAATAAGCATTTTTAGAAGACTCTGCTCCAATGTTTCCGCCAACATACAGTTGAATAATTAAAAAATGCCTTTAATGTAATAGAAATATAAATCAATTCAATATTAAATCTAAATCTAATTTAACTCTGAGAATAATGTGCTCCTCAGAATAATTTAGCAGATAGACCAGTCAAGTAATAGTGCACTGGGGACAATGTTCACATTTCTTACCCCTGGGCCTTTAAACTCTAGAAATGAAAGCTCAGATCTCTAAAATGCCTTGGAAGGCAAGTTAGAGGGGAAGAAGAAAAAAGGGGTGGGGGTGGAGGGGACACCAGACTCAACACTGTTCCAGTTCCCAACTTACCAAAAAATAAAATAAAAAGTTGTCTTTGGCCCTTTTGCCTTTTGTGTACACTGCGGGGGGGGGGGGGGGGGGGGGGGGGGACACCATAAAAAAAAACAAACAGTGAAATTTACCATGGCACTATTTTATAGCAGGTATTCTGAATCTTTTATCTTCCAAAACACGTGCACGTGGGTATGTGAACATGCACACACGCACGCGCGCGCGCACACACACACACACACAGTTACAGTATTTTCTACAGCAGCCCAAGTCTTTGTTCCACATGGAGCGGGTTTGGGATAACACAAGCTTATGAATTTTTCATAGGATATCTTAACCAAAAAGACATGTAAACGACTACTGAAAGCCTGTACGTTTGACGCTTTACCTTAGGGTAAAACAAACAAATAAACCCAAATAAAATAAAAAAATAGAACCTTTCGTTAAGCATTAAGAGCATTAAGAAAATTTCTTCTCTCGTGCTAAAGATCTCTAAATCACAATCACGTGCAAATCAAACTAAATTCAAGTGCCACGTCATAACAGGTTTAAATGTTCTCATTTGGGTCTTTAAAAATGACTTCACCACTGTGAAATGTGTGTTTTACAGGAGAAAAGATTCTATACACCTCCTTCCCTTCTCTTTTGGTTTCCTGTTTATGATTTGCTTTAAAAAATGACACAGATTCAATATGCATTATTTTTCAAAAACTAAAAATATTATTCAATATTAAGCTTGCCTGTGTGAGCAATAACTTAAAAGACATTTAGAAATGGAAACATACTCAACTTAGCTGGAGAATTAAATATTTGTAACTGCTTAACTGCTAAGAGGAAATTCAATTTACTGAGTAACTTGAGGAACTTTTATTACTTCAAAGAACACACATGAAAATCTTAAACAACAAATTCCTTCCCTGATACAGTTAAATGCAAATTATCTTTTTTTTCCCTGTCTTCTTACTCCAGAAATCTCCCGCACGCATAGCTGATGCGCCACCTACTGCAAAACCGAGCTGACAGAGCAGGCGGCGCTGCCAGCATTTCCATTCCATCACCAGGCTGGGGCTGAATAAAGGCGTGCTTGTGTGGTAGTGTTTCTTTTTTAAAAATCTCAGAGCCAAGAAGAACAGGCTGAAATAGCATTTTCAAAAATGGAGCGTAAAATAAACAGAAGAGAAAAAGAAAAGGAGTATGAAGGGAAACACAACAGCTTGGAAGACGCTGACCAAGGAAAGAACTGCAAATCCACACTGATGACCCTCAACGTTGGTGGATATTTATACATTACTCAAAAACAAACACTGACCAAGTACCCAGACACTTTCCTTGAAGGTATAGTAAATGGAAAAATCCTCTGCCCGTTTGATGCTGATGGGCATTATTTCATAGACAGGGATGGACTCCTCTTCAGGCATGTCCTGAACTTCCTACGAAATGGAGAACTTCTACTGCCCGAAGGCTTTCGAGAAAATCAACTTCTTGCACAAGAAGCAGAATTCTTTCAGCTCAAGGGACTGGCGGAGGAAGTGAAAGCCAGGTGGGAAAAAGAACAGCTAACACCCAGAGAGACTACTTTCTTGGAAATAACAGATAACCATGATCGCTCCCAAGGACTGAGAATTTTCTGTAATGCTCCTGATTTCATATCAAAAATAAAATCTCGCATTGTTCTGGTGTCCAAAAGCAGGCTGGATGGATTTCCAGAGGAGTTTTCAATATCATCAAACATCATTCAATTTAAATACTTCATAAAATCTGAAAATGGCACTCGACTTGTACTAAAGGAAGACAACACCTTTGTCTGTACCCTGGAAACTCTTAAGTTTGAAGCTATAATGATGGCTTTAAAGTGTGGCTTTAGACTGCTGACCAGCCTGGATTGTTCCAAAGGGTCAATTGTTCACAGCGATGCACTTCATTTTATCAAGTAATTACCTGTGTCACGAACAAAGGCAACAAGCATGCAGCCAGCAAGCTTCGGAAAACCACGGCATCAAAGGCATCCCAAATAACGTGTGCCCAGTCAGCTCTGTACTCAGAGCCCTGCTGCTAATCAATTACTGTGAGCTAACGGTATGTAAATTCTATCGCTAAAGATGTCCTTCTCAAGGGTGTTCCTGCTGATCAGACTCTTAAAATGAAAACAGTGATGTTCTATATATTATAAATAAAGACTGAATGCTTTTGCTATTTGTTTATTTCTCCGTAAACTGTCTTTCAATCAGAATGTCTTTGGTACTTGCACAATGAACAAGCATGTACATTATCTATCATTCATTTAAGTAAATGGTAATACAATATTTTAAGGGGCTGTAAGATTTAAAATCCCTTCTACCAATCTACAAAGAAACTGAACTGGTAAAATTAAACATTGAGAGAAAAAGAGATGTGCAGATGTACTAAAACAGAGCTACAGTGAAACCAAATGTAACTGTAAGAAGGTATTAAAGCTATTGACTTAATTTTAACGGCAGGCACTAAAAGCTTATTCATAGTTCCTGTATTTTATACTAGAATTATAGCTGAATTGACATATTGCTGAACATTCCTAGAAAACTGCTTGATGACAATAAAAAATAAATAAAAGCACTATTAACTTCTTTGTTTGTATTAATAATTATAATAAAAAGTTGTATGTGTCACTTTCAAAACAAAGTGTACCACTTGATGATTTCACACAATATTACCTATTGATGTAGTCAACTGGCAGGCTACAGTAACCCTGGCTGGTCTTCCAAGTGACAAAAATCAGCAAATTCATTTCTTTGCAGGCTGGGTTCCAACACAACCTGCATAACTTAGCCTCAACAGAATATGTGGTATCAAAATAATACAGGAGTTCATTTTCAGAACCACCCTGTCTGTTCATTCTTCAAGCTCAAAAATATTAAATGAGCATCACTAGACATTATTCTTATGAAAGAACTTTATTCATTTCAGTACCTATTTTGATGCTAAATCTCAGATTCACTGAATTGTGTTAATTTCTTTAACCTCATGCTGAAGTTATTTTTTTAAATTAAGTTTCATATATGGCTGTCTCAATGAGATAATGCAGAAACTTAGCTCTAAGTGCTAAGTTAGAGTGCATTTTTCCTCCCAAAGAACAGCTAAATCATTAATATGCCTCTCATTTCCTTTGGCTTCTAAGAACAAATTAGATCTTAAATTTGCTCCTTTAAAATTTAACCACTATTAAACAAATTTAACCATTAAAACAGGTAACTAAATCTTGATTTTAATAAAATTCAACAAAAGTTTCTGAAAGCCTTGACTGAGGTTACATAAATTAACATAAATGCCAAAAGTTTGCTTAAACATAAAAACTTGGAATTAGCAGCAAAGCTAATTCATTCTTAGAACTCTGATTTCCAGTTATAAAATCAAAGGTAATGCAAAAGTTGGCTGTACATACTAAGGGAAATACTTTAAAATCTATCATACAAAAAAGTCCTTTAAAAAATGCACATAAAAAAAAAAACACCTCAAAACTCCATATCAACCACACAATCTTCTTTTATATATAACAAGAAAAAAGATGCTTCTAATAAAACATCAAATTATCTCTTACATACTTTAACATGGCTTAATTAAGAGTTAAAGGAACTATGAAAACAGAAAAATACAGTAAAATCTATTTTAGCTATTACTATAATTGAACTGTTTACATGCGTCTCCAGCTTATGAGTTGACTTTTCCTTGGCATTTGGACTTTGGTAATGAAAAAAATGATAGTGATTTAATGTCAAAGCAAGATTTTCTCTAACAAGACTTCATTACAGATAATGAATATAGCCTTGACATATCTTATTACAGGAGATATCACTGAACAAATCTCCTTAGAAGTATTATAAGTTTTTGCATGAATTCACAAAAAGAGAATTTAACTGTTACAACAAATCATTACTGATGGAAACCAGTACTTAAAGAAATCTATTAATCATTTTGATAAATGTCTCTAAAAAAATTGTATCTGGATGCATTTAACTCATCCTCAAACTTTTGATAAACCATAATATTGTAAAACAATTTAATAATCTGGAAGGATATTTGACCAGATTGATTATTCTTGTGTAACTTTTTAGAAGTGTAGCTTTTTAAATTCAGCCAGTTGCACTTGGGTTTATACATCAAGTGCATAAATAATGTGTTGTAATATCATTTTCAATTTCACCATTTCTTAAAATATTTAGAAATGCCTCCCATTAAAAAAAACTCAACAAATCATACAAAATGCCAATCATAAGTCAGGGTGATATCATATTTTTGTTTGCAGTCAATGAAGAATTTCTTCCTCAAATTTTTCACAAAAAAATTCTTGTTTTTCTCACTGCTCCACAGAGTAAGTCACAAAGTGACGCTTTATCTTCTTTTTCAGAAGACAGGTAATAAAAAAAAATAGGTTACTATACTTGCCGCAAGCCAAACATAGATAGTCCCATATTTGGAATTAACCCACACAATGCTTCTAGCACTGTCCTTAAAATATGAAAAATAAAAACACAGCTTATAGTGTACTATACTTCTAAAATGTATATGGCTGTGTGCAGAGCAAATGAAACACTTAATGAGACTTTTCAAATGATGAAAGATAACTACCAACTCAGACTGAAGGTAATGATACTAATGAAACTTGTTATTTTTTAAAGAAAATTAATTACAGTTCAATTCTATTTTAAAGATAATAAAAGATAACCCTTACTGTTTTATTACATGCCTGATACTGCACTATGAACATGCATTATCTTAATTAATCCTCACAATGACGTTGAGGAAGGTACTATCATTCTTTCACAATCATATAGTTATTAAGAGGTAAAAGAGGATTCAAAACCTGAATCAAAGGCCGGATTCAAAACCGGCCAGGTACATTAACTTCAGAGCCCAGGAACTGTGTGTGCTTTTGCCGGCCACTTACATCTCTAACACTTAAAACCTGGCATAAAACAGGCATTCCTGAAGTATGGGCTCAACACAGAATACCAAAATACAGGTTTGCCTCACTTGATAAAAAACCTCACAATGCAGGTTCTTGTAAAATGAGTGAAAAACTGAACTAATGGGAAAGCAAATAAAATTTTTAATGTCATGTTGGGTCATTTAAAGAACTTGAGATCAATCATCTCACAACAATAAAGGATAGCCTAAATTTGTCTATTGACAAATCTGGATCTTCACATATCAGGTTTGTGGAAAAGGAGATTAACTTTTTATGACCCGTACAGTCCACAGAACTGACATATTATGAAGAAAAAATATAGCGCACATGAGCTCTCAAGTCAGACTTGGATTCAAATCCAATTAACCTCCACTAACTTGCCTACATAATGTAAGCAAGATTCTTCACTTCTCTGAACTTCAATATCCTCAGAGCAAAATGGAGATAATGATTAGCTGATAGACCCTTTATAAGGCTTAAATTAAATTACATGTAAAGGGCCTCACCCACTATAGACTTTCAATAAGCACTGGTTATTATCTTATCCAGTGTAAAGATATCTTCATGACACAACCATGAATAACATGCACAAAAATCTACGTTTACAATTATTAGGCTTTCAACTTAGACATAAACAGAATGCAGAACTTTTAATAAATGCAATGCCTAATACTTTGATGAATGCTATAAGATACAAGAATATACTTTAAATTGCTACAGGCAAACATAGTTTTCATTGGTATTAGTTTAAAAATACATACGAGTTTCTTGGGACTTTTATATTCTACCTTCATGTACAAAATCTACGAGAACCAAATAATCATTGCAGCTGTTTCATCAGCAGTATAAAACCAGTCAGCAGTAATATATGTGATAACACAATCCCAGAGATACCCCCATCTAATAAATTCTGGTTAAATGTCTTAAACTACAATGATGTCAGTCAAGGTTAAAATTAGAGCATCTGAATCATATTTATCCTTGCTAACAAAGCAGAAGTGTAGTATGGACTATCCCAAAGAGCATGCAACTTAGAAATTATTTGTATTTAGCTTTGAAATATATATGGCTACTTCCGTAGCAGACTGATCTTCCTAATCATATTTTGCTTAAGCTAGTATTAAAATTAATTTGCTTCAGTGAACAAGCACCAAGGGAGTGGTGATAAAGGGAGGTGTGCCAGGCAGAGGGAAATATCTAAGATGAAATTTTAAATTTACCTAAAATAATTTATGAAAAGGTGACTATGTTTCTACTTCTTGAACAAAATATACAATAGGGGGTGCCTGGTGGCTCAGTTAGTTTCAGCTCAGGTCATGATCTCATGGTTTGTGAGTTTGAGCCTTGCATAGGGCTCTGCATGGACAGCACAGAGCCTGCTTGGGATTCTCTCTCCCCCTCTCTCTCTGCCCCTCCCCTGCACTACCGTGTGTGTGTGTCTCAAAATAAACATTTAAAATAATAAATACAGACAACTATATAATAAATCATTCATCCATATATATTTTAAAAATGCACAAGAGTAAAAGTTTCTATCAAACAAAAATCACTGATATGCACCACATAAGCTACTATAAATGACCTCCATTTAATTAAAATTTTCCAACAACGCAAAAAAAAAGTGCAATGTTAAGGATTTTGTATATAAAATGTGGAAACTCTAGTTTAATTTTAATCACTAATTATTTTATAAAAAATACTGAATTGGAGGGGCGCCTGGGTGGCGCAGTCGGTTAAGCGTCCGACTTCAGCCAGGTCACGATCTCGCGGTCCGTGAGTTCGAGCCCCGCGTCAGGCTCTGGGCTGATGGCTCAGAGCCTGGAGCCTGTTTCCGATGCTGTGTCTCCCTCTCTCTCTGCCCCTCCCCCGTTCATGCTCTGTCTCTCTCTGTCCCAAAAATAAATAAACGTTGAAAAAAAAAAATTAAAAAAAAAAAAAAAAAAAATACTGAATTGGATATGAAAGAGTGAAATAATTGTAGGTCTTTAAAAA